AAAAAAAAATGCAAAAAACGAGGAACATAAATTTGTTCAGCAACCCAATCTTCCAAACACATTTTGCTTATTGAAAAACCTATTTTCCAACAACATACTTCAGGTGAAGCTGGTCTAAAATCCAGCGCGTACGATAATCGTTCGCCGCTCGGTTCCAAATCCGTTAGCATCGATAGATATTCGTCCTAAATTTCTTCAACGATAACAAAGTTCGGATTAACAAAAATGAATCAATCCGCAATAAAAAAACCCCTTTAATCAGACATTTTTTTTTTACCATATTCGTAGTGCAGAAGTTTTATGCCGATCTTTTCCTATTTCTATTTTCTCTAAACCAATTCATCAAAAAGAACGGTAGGATTTCGAGTGTAAAAAATATACTAGGACACCAAAAACCACCTCGATAACCACAGGAGTCCAACAAATTTTCAAGGACTTTTCTGTATCGCCTTTTTCAATATGGGAAGCGATCACCCCATGCTGCGGGTTAGAATACATACTGCCCTGGCTCCTCATGAAAGAAGGGATACTGCATGCGACACGTCAATGTAACAGGCCCAGAGAAACCGATGATGAGGAGATAAAGCGACAATTCGAGAAAACCGGCTGGACCATGACGGGGATTGCTGAAGAGGGCTACAAATGCCGTGTTGATAAGCTTGCTAGGTGCGCTAAACAATACTAGTGGAACGCTATCGCAAGCCTTCATAAAATGAACCGCATATTTCCGATACCAAGTGTTCGAAGTGTGACATTTTTTTCGATGCTTCCCGAAGCTAAACGGTTCTAACGTGCTCCAAATGCCCTGCCTTTCGGAACCAGCTTTTCTGAGTATTCCTTCGCGCGCTCATCCCCTTATACGAAAAAAACCAAAACCACCTGAGCTTACAGTGGTCGCAAAGAGATACACCAAGCATCCTTCGCTCTAGTACTCGCCCAGTCAAAGTCAAAGCTCACTCCTCTGCTTTTGTCAGTGACCTCTTTTCTCATTCGTTATTGCCTTCAACATAGCAATACAGAAACAACAAATAAGCATCAAAAATGTGCTTAAAACTGGTTACCTTAATTCCCATACGGAAAAAACCATTAGCCAGTTTTTCTTCTTGTTTGAGCAAATCAAGAACTTGAAATGCATCCAGGGCGTCCACATCCACAATAATACCATTGATAAGGAAAAGCGATTCACCTTCCGAAATGCCATACTCCAGGAACTGTTCCTGATTCGTACCAATCTGCAAAAGAAATTATATCCTTTCGATATACCGGATGCAAATATCACAATCTGAAGTGACTATGTTTAATGAAATACAAAAAAGAAAGATTCACAAACCTCAAAAACCATCTCGGCTCGAAGCACCTGCCGTGAAAGAGAACGAGCAGCAAGTGGGAAATTCTGACTGACATCCGTCAAGAGACTCAGAGCTTTCTCGGGACCAGCTTGGACAATTCGTTGCGCAGCTTGATAGCTCAGCTCCTGCACCTGCCATACTTTCAGTGGCGTTAACTCATCACGTTCCAGCAAATGCAATCGAAACTGATCCAGTGATTCTCTTAGATTTCCATGTAACTTCCTGAATTACGATAACAATATGTATATCCACACTATATGCTGCGGTACAAGCTCTCAAACAGAAAACCGTTCAAGACGTAAAAGCGAAGCCTTTGCTTCCCAACCTCCCCAATCGGAATTATAAAGTATAAAAATAAATGTTGAATCATCTTCCGATGACATTCCAGTTGAACGTCGGGAAGCTAAGTTCCCATCGGAGGTCGGATCTCCAACAGGGATCCGGCTCTCTGTTCCCAATCCACCTTTTCCCCCGTCACCTCCCCTGACGCAGATTGAATCTACGACGGCAAAAAATCCGTCCCTAGTTCCCACGGCATTCATTCTGGAATCCTGGATGAAGGCGGTTTCGGAGATTGTAATGTGCGATATCTATTACAGGAATATCAGTATATGAGAAAGGCGATTCGATGAAACGTGCCCGCGTGTATTATTCGTTACCGTAATGCCTAAGCGTGTGTTACAGTAATTCGCGGAGTCACCGTACCCAAATTTACCGTAATTCGACGACATGACTACATCTCACTTACCGTAGTTTATTAAAATTAAAACCATAGATATCTTCATTGTCAGCATATTCCTCTGGAGTTTCTTCGGCATTAGTCTTGTCTGCAAAAAAGCAATACTTCGTTCAATAAATTTTAAAACAAAAATTTTTAACGGATTTAAGCATAAAATAGCAAATTTCAGGCGAAAAAAAAGATTCGCAAGTTTACCGACAACTGTAGCACTGGCGCTATCATCAACCGCTTTATATTCGGTACTTTTGATGGCCAATTCAACGCCATAACCCGAAAGTAGCAGCTTATCATCACGGATATCCTAAAAGCACATAAAACTAGCATTTTTGTGTGCAGAAATGATAAATAACGACAATTAGAAGGCCGAATCATAAAAGGACGGACCAAAGAGAGTGGCAAAAGTGGGTTAAATTGGTAAATAATTTGCAGTCCTTGGTAGGCAGAACTGTAATTTCTGAAGTAAACGGCTAGTTCGAACCGTGGAAAATATGGAATGGCCGCAATCCACAAATTTTATAGTTGGGTGGGATTAGTCGATTGATTATGAT